CAAATTGGCTGTACCATTTCACATTGCTCTGCGACCTGTGCAGGTTCCGTTTATCCGCAACCATCAGCATGTGCTGTTGACTGTCGTTTTTATTTTAACCATTTTACTGGGATTAGTGTTATCTATTTAATTTTGTTCAGTACTCCCCTAGTAACTAATGATGTTGAGCATCTTTTCATGTTCATGTTGAACAACTGAATGTTGTCTTTGGGGAAATGTCTATTCAAATCCTTTGTCACTTGTGTTTTTATTCCTGAGTTGTAGGGGTTCTTTATATATTATGAATAGAAGTTTCTTGTTGGATATTTGATTTGCAAATTTGATTTGTGGGAAATTTCTTCCATCAATAGGTTATCTTTTCATTATCTTGATTGTCTTTTGAAGTATACAAGTTTTAAATTTTTATAAAATCTAATTGATCAGTTTTGTATTTTATCACTTGTACTTTTGGTATTGTGTCCAAGAATGTGTTTCCTAACTGAAAATTGCAGTGAGTGACTTCTTCATTTTCTTTTCAGCAGATCTTTTAGATCTTTTTTCTGTGTGAAAAAATGGGTCTCTCCTCCCAGCCTTCAGTCAAGTCTGCCTACCTCCCACTCTCATTTATACCCAGGAAATACCTCTTTTTAGTTACTCTCGCTCAACAAGACTTCAACTAGACACCTCTGTGTGTTGAGCACTGAGCTAGGGTGTATGGAAATCCTAAAATGAAAGTGATGCTGTCTTAGTTACTGGATATAAGGGATCAAAGATGTGACCAGAAGGTGGACTGTGCAGTCTAGAAGAGATGTGAGGGATAACAATGGTAAATGATTCATTTTGAACTTGTCGCTAGCAGATTCGTTTCTGATAAAGTTTGTATCAGGAGGCAGTGAAATAAAAAGATGATGGCCATGCATCCTTCTCTTAGGAAATGATAGTCAATGTTAAGCTTATTTTTTATTCTATTTATCATTTTAATTTTATGTGTATGAGTGTATTGCCTGCATGTGCGTAAGTGTATCCTTGTCGTACAATGCCCAAGGAGGTCAGAAGAAGGCATCAGATCTCCTGGAGCTGGAGCTACAGATGGTTGTTAACAACCATGTGGGTGCCAGGAATCAAACCTGGGTCCTCTGCAGGAGCAGAGTAGTCAGTGTTCTTAACTGCTGAGCCATCTCGACAGCACCATTAAGCTTATTTTTGTTTTCATTTTTCAGTGCTACTGCTTGACAGTTTAAGAACTTGGCAATCCTTCGCTGGGTATGGTGGCTCATGCCTTTAATCCCAGCATAAACAAACGAACGAATTTGGCAATCCTGTACTGATCCCACAGTTTTATTTTTGTTGTGGTTGTTGTTACTGGTTTTTGTTTGTTTGTTTTTTGGGGGATGAGACAGGGGTGGCCAAGAACTCCCTATGTAGACCAGGCTAGCCTCTATCTCAGAGAGATCTCCCTGCTTCTGCCTCCCAAGTCCTGAGAATAAAGACATGTGCCAGCCTGTTTTGCTTTTTTGTTGTTTTTTGTTTGTTTATTTTTAAAGTTATATGTATATTTTGTTTGCATGTATGTAAGTGCACCATGTGCATGCAATGCCTGAAGAGGCAATCAAGTCCTCTGAAAATGAAGTTATATATGATTGTAAGCCACCACGTGGGTGCTGGGAACCAAACATGGGTCCTCTGCAAAAACAGCCAGTGGTCTTACCTGCTGAACCATCTCTCCAGCCCTGGGTTTTGTTTTTATTTTGGGTTTTCTGCTGTTCTTGTTGTTTGAGGCAGAGTAGCCCAGGCTCGTCTTGAACTCACAGCAGTTCTCCTATCTCAGCCTCCCAAGTGTTGAGATTACAGACATGACCACACCCAGTTTGAGTTCACAAATTTTAGCTCACAAATTTAGCTCATCTGTAAAGACAGCTTGCAAATACTAGTTCAGAGATCAGAGGGATAATTTCTGGGTGATCAGTGAAGACTTTATGAGTTGTTCTGAGTCTTGTGAGTTTCCATAACTAATTATGGGATATGGGAAGCAAGGCTGGTCGACAGCTCTGATGGACAACTTTGGAAGACAAAAAGAGAGGCTTCCATTTGGTTCTCTAGGCCATGGGAAGCCATTAAGGGGACAGGAGCAGTCATCGTGTTGAAGAAAGGTAGTGCTTTAGGGTGATGAATCCGGGAGTGCTAGAAGGTAAACTGCAGGTGGGAAGACTTTGATTGGAGGAGTTTATGTTTCTATTGTGTCCATATTTGATTTTTGTTTCTGGCTAGATAATAATTTGACCTTTCATCAAAAGCCGTATAGATCTTTGGCAGTAAGGTTGGGAAGTAAGTGGCAGTGTGGTCTGTGGCGAGCTGAATTAAATGAAACACTGAAAGTGTGAGAGCGCTCACCTTCCATAGGCAACTGGGAATCTTCCGAAACACTGAGTAGCCAGTCTGTGCTTGGATTAGCCTCAAAGAAGTTTCAGGGACAAAGACCCTGGGCCCAGAGCTCCACAGTAATCAGCTAGCATTCCAGGCATTTGATTACAGAAGCTGACTTCGTTTAACCCACAGCTGTTAATCCAAACTCCTTGGTGGTCTCTAACTACTCCAGAAGAGGCAAGCACCCTGACACCATTTCAGCCATCCAAGAGGACTGCTAACAGCCGCTTAATGTTAGGAATCCGTCCCTCCCTCCCTCCTTCCTTACTTTATTGTTTACTGTAGGATCGGGGTTATTGCCCCTCAAACAAGTCAAGGTTAGAAATGGGTCTTTGAGTCTTTAGCCTCTTTCCTTCTCTTTAATTCACTTTAGTTCATTCATGGAGTCAGGATGTTCAGGTCTCAAGAGGAATGGAAGAAGCAAGAAAGGGAAAGAGGTGGGTGTGATGGCACACGCCTGTAACCTCGGCACTCAGGAGCCTGAGCAAGCAGATTGCCATGAGTTCAAGGCTAACCTGGATTATAGCATGAGTTTGAGACCAGCCTGGGCTGCATATTAGCAAGTCCCCATCTCCAAAGAGCCAAAAACAGAAGAAGAGAGGAGAGGGGAGGGGAGGGGAGGAGAGGCCTATGGTGGACATAGGGATTGAAACCATAACACAAAGCAGAGGAAGAATGAAAAACAGAAGGGGAGGGAGAGGAGAGGAGAGGGGAGGGGAGGGGAGGGGAGAGAAGAGATCCTGAGTTAGTGTTGTGGTCCTGTGGTTTCTCCAGTCTTATTTCCTGGGACCTGAAATTCAAATACTTCCCCATGGAGTCCAGATAGCATAGTCAGCCTTTCTTACCCATAGGGCCTAAAGCCACAGATTCAACCAACTATAGACCAGAAATATTCAGTGGAGGGGGCTGGGGAGATGGCTCAGGGGTAGAGAGCTTGCATAGCATGCATGAGGTTTTCAGTTTCATCAAAAAGGCAGGAAAGGGAAAGGGACAGAGAGAAAAAGAAAATTCAGAGGGAAAAATTGCACTCGGGCTGGTGAGATGGAGAGATAGGTAAGGGCTCTTGCTGCCAAGCCTGACTCCCTGAGTTTGATCCCTAGAACCTACATGGTGGAAAAAGAGAAACAGCTCCTACAAGTTGTCCTCTGACGGCCACAGTGGCATACATACCCACACACTAGTAAATGGGTATAAAAAATTTTTTGTTGGGGCTGGAGAGATGGCTCAGTGGTTAATAGCATTGACTGCTCTTGTAGAGGACCTGGGTTCAATTACCAGCACCCACATGGCAGCTACGAACCATCCTCAACTCCAGTTCCAGGGGAATCCGAAGCCCTCTTCTGATCTCCGTGGCATTGCATGACACAAGTACACTCACACACAGACAGGCAATACACTCATACATATAAAATAAAAATAATAGCCGGGCGTGGTGACACACACCTTTAATCCCAGCACTCGGGGAGGCAGAGGCAGGTGGATCTCTGTGAGTTTGAGGCCAGCCTGGTCTACATAGTAAATTCCAGCACAGCTGGAGCTACAGGGAGACCCTGTGTCAAAAAGACCAATAAATAAATAAACAAATAAATAAATATAATAAATAAAATATTTTTAAATTTTTTTGTTTAAATACATCTAAACATATACAGACTTTCTAGCCTTTTCCCACTAAATAATATATATGGCAAGTATTTAAATAGCATTCACATTGTGTTAGGCATTATGTATAATCAAGAAATTTTTTAAAGATGTAACTATGATGCCCTTTTATTTGAGGTATCTGAGCATTCACATAGTTTAATATCCACAGAGGGCAGTAAACCTTGGAAGGAGCCATAGGCAGGGCTAGTGCTTGGGAACTGAGCCTGTCCTGAGAGCATCTTTGTGCTGAAGGGTCACATAAGGGAGCAGTGGCACAAAGTGGACAGAAACGACACTGCTACTTACCATCCTGCTGGCTCCTGCTGTGTTTGCTTCTATCATTTATTTCCACGGAGTAGCCCAGAACCTGAGCAAGGCAGAGATGGAGGGCTCAGTAGGCCTATTGGAAAAACAGGTTTTTCTTCAGCCGAAGAGAAACCATTCCCTTTCTTCTTCCTCCTTTTTCTCTGGGAAGAAGGGCTTCCTGGCCTCTCCACCTGGTTAGAGGATTCTACATCCTTACAAACCTGCTTGGACCCAACTCAACAAGGACCAAAAACGGATGTGACAGGCCCAACCTCATCTCAACTGTTAGACCCTCTGAAGATCCAGGGGGCTCAACTGAACCCTGTCTTTGGAAGGGGGTCTACAGCCACCTTGGTTCTGAAAATCACTACCACCTTGTATGGAGCAGGCAGCCTGGCCGATTAGTTTCTAGACAGAGTGATCCCTGAGGTACACCCTAGGAATCAGTGCCGAGACTGGTTGGGCTTCAAGCATGGAGCCTGCTGTTTCTCTTGGTGGAATGATGATTGGTCTTTGCAGCCTCCCCAGGGCGTCCAAAATCCCCTCCCAGGCTGACACTCCACCCTAGCCTATCTGGAACCCTTGCAAAAGGAAGAAGCTGGAACACAAGCAGTCATTCAGAGTGAAGGGAAAGAGGAGGGAGAGGTTTCTGGCTAAGATCTAAAAGGAGGGGCCTGAGAAAGGAAGGAAGGAAGCAGCTCTGCCCAGACTCCTTCCCCCAGCACGCCTAAGGACAGGAGAGAAGCCAGGCTCAGTTTTCCCTACTTTTTGCTGTTGTCTGGGAAGTCTATCTTCCAGCACCTACTGCCCTCTGTGGCTGACTTCTCTCTCCTCTCTCCCTCCCCCAGGCTAACAGGCCAACAGGGACCGATGGGGAAGGAGGCTGAGTGGCTGTGCTGTGGGCATGCCTGCGCCTTTCCCTTCCCCCTTCCCTTAGCAGCAACGTCACCGCAGCACCAGCAGCCGCGGCAGCAGCAAGGAGACCAGCTGGGATTGCGCAGCCTCCCTGCATTAGCTAGGATGCCATTGTATTAGCAGAAATCAGATCTTAGGAAACCAGCCTGGTTCTCCCTGTGCCGTCCCGTCCCATGGAACAGCTTCAGCCGGGATTGTCAAGGTAGAGTTCGGTAGGAGTATAAAAGGAGCAGCAGCCTCCAGGTCCCGCTCAAGGCTCCTTGCAGAGGTATGGCTCAGCGGAGCTGGGGGGAGGGGCCGGGCAGAGCCAGGATCACCATCAGCATTTGGGCCTTGGTTCCTGAGGGCTGCTTTGTCTTTCCTAAAGAGAGAAAGCGTGCTGGCACGTGCAGACATTGGAAAAGCTCATCTCTACATACATTTGGCTGTAGTGCAAGGTTGGGCTAATGCTGTTTATGCTGTTTTATCAAGAAACAAAAGATCCTTTTCTTCCTTTCTGGGTGTTTCTGATGAAGCTGCTTTGACTGATGTTATCAGAATGGAGGGGGCAGATCTAGAAACAAAGGTTTTTATGGGTGAAGACACCTCTACAGCTACTGTAAGTTCATGATGAAAACCATGCAGGGATCCACTGTTCAAGAGGGCCGGGTGGTCTTCCCTCCACACTTGCATGCATGTATGCACATAGACACACATACTCTATTTTCTGCTGCTGTGGGAGCCACGAAACTCCAGGTTAGGATGCCATAAGAAAGAATGTAGAGTAAAATGCTCCCCAGTGTATGGAGAGAGGGACATTGCGATGCTGAAGGCACCTGCCTATTATAATCAGCCTTCTTATACAAATGTAGCTTCCTGGAAGAGACCTAAACACATGCTAAGCTAATAGTCCCAAGTCTACCCACTTGCCCTCTTCCCTTCCGCCCTGCCCTAGACTAGACCCAGTCAGGGAGACAGCTTTCAGGCCCATGGAGGTCCACAGGTCAAGGTCAGATCACTAAAGAATAGCAACTGAGTGCCCCTGCCTTCCCTGCCTGCTCTGAGGAAGCCAAAAATGAGGGGACAGGGTCTGTGACTAGAAGAAAAACGCTGATGAACAAAGAACCTTTCTTCTGGAGTTTTCTGGCCACAGATGGCCTGTTGCCGAACAGGTAGAAAGAGTTCCTTAAGTTCTCATTTCCATCAACACCTTGGTAGAGGATTCAAAGACATGGTAACGGTAGTTCCACAGTGTGTAAATATGTAGTTAAGGATGACACTGGGAAGTTGTGAGAGTGTTAATTCCCAGGTAGTGTTGAGGAATGTGAACAATAGAGCAAGGGGAAAGAGATTTGGAAACCATGAATGGGGCAGGTGAATTCTGGGAACTAGGATGTGAGGGGCAGGAGACAGCAATGACCAGAGTTGTGAGAGATCACAGGGACAATGATATGAAAGGGGCTCGTGTGGAGAAGAGTGGATTTAGCCCATATACCTATATACTGAAGCCAGGGTCTATCCAGGTAAGGTAGGAAACTGCTGCCTCTGGGTGAATGAAAGGACTTGAGGAAGAGGATGCGGCCCTGATCATCTCAAAAAGCAGTTGTGTTAGACATAGTTGGGAACTGCGCAGGCCAGGGTAGGCCAGGGTTTGAGTCCCATTTCAACTGTGTAATTGTGAGCAAGCTACTTATCCTCTCTAGGCCTCGGTTTTCTCATCTGTTAAATGAGAGTGAGTGCTTGTTTGGGGGTTTTAGAATGGAATTGGAGATGATATATAAGACACCTATCATGTTATGCTCAATAAATGATCACTAATAAGTGCATTACTTAGATCAAGAGACACCCATTGGGGACTAGGGCAAAGCAAAGGGCGCTCATAGAAAGCTTTCGCTGCATCTAGAGAGACAGACTTCACAGCTTGCTGTCAGCTGAGCCCACTGTCTGCCTACCCAGCTAGACACAGCTGGAAGGCTCGTCTTCTGAGAGGGCCTCGTGCTTTCTTCTTTGGAACCTCTATTAGCTCACTGCCCTTGCTCATCTCCCACTCCATTTCATCAGGACAAAAAGAGTATATGGAACAAGTGCGTTCACCCAGTGTTTCTACTGATGGCCACGGTGTTAATTAAATTTGTCCAGATAATAAACAAGTCACTCCCAGGAAAGAAGTCTTCAATATGTGCTCAATGAATGTTTTCTGTAGTGTTTGAAATCAAGTGAAATGTGTGTTATTACATTATTTACCTTTTTATTTACTTTTTGTTTGTTGTTATTGTTTTAGACAGGACCTCAAGTAGTGCAGGTTAGTTTGAACTATGTATGTGCCTCTGCCTCCAAGTTTATAGGTGTGAGCCACCTAGCTCTCATTTCATTCTTTCTTTCCTTTTTGTTTTTTGAGACAGGATCTCTCTATGTAGCCCTGGCTGGCTTGATGCTCCCTATATAGTATATAGACCACGCTGGCCTCAGCCTGCCTCTCCCTCTTGAGTGCTGGTATTAAAGGCATACACAACCACACCTACCCTTCATTTCATTCTTAAGTGGTGTAAATAAAAAGTCCAAAAGTTAGGGCTCCCATCATAATTCTGTTATTTATTTACTGGAGTCATTTCATCTTTCTAGGTATGACTTCTTTTATTGGGGGGGGGTCTTTTTGAGACAGGGTCTCCCGGTAGCCCCACCTGGCCTGGAACCTACTATGTAGACCACCAGGCTGGCCTTGAACTCACAAAGATCCACCGGCCTCTGCCTCTGCTGGGATTAAAGGCATATACCACCACACCTGGCCTTGTGACTTTTTTATTTTGTGGTAGGTACTAGGTATTATACCCAGGGCCTTACATATGCTAGACAAGTTTTTCCAATGAGCTATGTCTCTCTCTAGGTCTCTTTCTCTCTCTCTCTCTCTCTCTCTTTTTTTTTTTTTTTTTTTTTTTTTTTTTTTTTTTGAGACAGGGTCTCCCTGTAGTCCCAACTGGACTGGACTCACTATGTAGACCAGCCTGCCTCTGCTGGGATTAAAGGTGTGTGCACCACACCCAGCATAGACCTCTCTTTTTAAAAGTTTTTTTAAAGTTATTTTTATTTCATGTTATGTATGAGAGTTTTACCTGTATATACGTAAGTGCAGTGCACTTATACAGTGCCCACAGAGGCCAGAGGAAGGTTTAGGTCCCCTAGAACTGGAGTTACAGATGGTTGTTAGCCACTGTGTGGGTGCTGGGTGCTAAGTGCTGGGAACTGAACCCAGGTCCTCTGCAAGAGCAGCCAGTGCTCTGAACCGCTGAACCATCTCTCCATCCCCATAGACTTCTGTTTTGTGTTTTCGTTTTTTTTTTTAACTTTTTGAGGTAAGGTTTCACAAAGTTGCATAGGCTGGCCTTGAACTTACTCAGTAACCCAAGCAGACCTTGAACTAGAGAGCCTCTTACTTCAGGCTCCCAAGTAGCTAGGATTACAGGCCTGTACCACTAGGCTTGGCTTCCTTACTTTTAAAATTTAAGATGGCATTGTTTACTTTGATCTTTGTGAGGATCAGCTTTGTAGAGCTGGGGATGCAGCTCAGTGATGGAACTTTTGCCTACCCTGCTTCAAGGTCCTAGGTTCAATTTCCAGTGTCACCAAAGGAAAGAAAAATGCTTTGTGAAAATGTGAAAGGAGGCTGAGCTCAGTGGCGTACTTATGATCCTAGCTCTCAGGAGGCCAAAACAGGAGGACTGCAAGTTCCACCTAGTATTACATGCATAAATTCCGGTCTATGCAACTTTGTGACACCCTTTCTCAAAATGCACACACTCACACACATGCACGCACAGACCCCATCCTTTAAACAGGTTTCTACTACAGGTGCAAGACAAAAGTGTCCTTGTAGTTTCTGCTGGCTGGCTATGGCAACCAGGACTGAATATAGGAATAGGGGTCAGGGAAAGGGGTAGGGGGGGAGCGCAAAGAAACAGACGAATCACAGATTTAGAGAAAATATTGTAAGATGTATATCTGGCAGAATAAATTTTAAAACTCCTGCAGCTCAGTAATAAGAAATACTCTCTCGAATGAGTAAAATAGCTCACTACCAGATTCCAAGCACTGTGCACTAAGTTCTAGTGACACCGAGTTGATTATGTCATAGTTTCTGGCCTTTGAGCTGCATTCCAGGCTGCAGATAAACATGTAAACAGAACTGTCAGCACCCTCCACCAAGGACTCCACCGTCACCCCCAGATGTGCGCTTGCTCTCATCCCTGGTTTAAAGGATCAGTTTTCTACTCTTATCTGTGATTGGTTTTTCCATATAAACGTATGTCCTAGCAGTGATTCTGGGGGCCAGAACAATACATTCTTATGTATGCATACATGTAACTGTCTCTTAAAAATGGTGCTTTAAAGGGGAGAAGTACCCACTGAAGATCAAGGATGGCTATATCCCAGAGGGACTCTTCAAATACTGCTGCATGTACAAGAATTAGTGCCCCTCTTGGTCTGGCTTAGGAATTAGAGCCTGCATCCTAGGGAAAGCCTAGTATTATATGTAAGGAGAAGTCCCCTATTTATAGAAAACTAGCTTAAATCATATACATATGTGTATTTAATATATATCATTATATATTAATACATATTAAAAATAGATGAAGAATTTAAAATAATCCAGAATCACTCAATCTAGATCATCAATCCAGAGATCAGCACTTAATATTTTGTTGTGTTTCAAATTTTCTTCCCCAAGTATAGGCAGATATAGGCATAATTACTTAGAAAAATGCCATAGCGCATACTGTTCATCTTTTCTTAATTTCTCTTCATATTCTGTGAGCATCTTTCCAAGTCAGTACTCCTGTTAATCCAACATTATTTTGTTTGTTTGTTTTGAGCCAAGGTCTCACTGTGTTGTCCAATCTGGCCTCGAATCCTGGGCTGTGGCAGCCTGCTTCAGCCTCCTAAGTAGCTGCTGCCACAGGAAACCACCACACCCATCTAGTAACACAGAGTTACTTTAGTGACACTCCAAGATGTATTTTCAATTGAGTGATCATTATTGGAATTTTAGAATAGTCCTCTTTCATTTTGTTATTCATGTAGCTCATATATATGACCCCAAAGTTTTTTTGGAAAAAGAGGAAATGGGAAGAAGTAAAGGGAAGTCTCCTGTCTCTTGTAGCAAAGCTAAAAGTTCTCTTCATTGCTGTCTCCGAAAGGCCATGTTTAAGGCAGAGCTGTCCCTCCAATCTCATAGCCACCTTTTGGGCAGAAGCCCAGCCCCCTCCACTGCTGGGCAGCAGTTCCCTTCCTCCTCATGTGTCTTTCCATAAGCCTGAATCTTCTGCTTTAACAAAAGTTTTAAACAGTGGTCTTACTGATATATAAATCACATACCTGTCATTACACTCACTGTGTAACCATTACCACTGTGTGATATCAGAACATTTTTATCACTCCATGAAGATCCTGCATAGCCACTAAGCAGTTGTTCACCATTCCCTAGCCCTTGGAAACTACTAATCTACTTTCCGTTTTAGTTAATTTTCCTATTTTAGACATTTCATATGAATGAAATCATACATCATACAAAGGAGTCTTTTGTGAGTGGCTTGCTTCTAAGTTCATTCATGGCGTAGCACATATCAGTGCTTCACTCCTTTTCATGCCAAATAATGTTCCATTGTGTGTATGTATCACATTCTTATTAATTTTTAGTTGGCATACAAACAGTGGGGAGATGTTACATTTTATTGATCCATTCATCAGGTATTTGGACTGTTGCCACATTTTGGTCTCTGAATAATCTGAGTAATGCTGTTGTGAACATTTTTATGCAAGCTTTTGTGTAAATGTTTCGTTTCTCTTTAACTATTCCTATAAGTGGAAGTGCTGGGTCCTGTGGTAACTCTCTGTTTAACACTCTGAGGGACTGACAGACCGTTTCCCAAGTGGCTGCACCATTTTTCAGTGCCCTCCGCAATGTTTAGGGGTTCCAATTCTTCCCCATCATCAGTACTTGCTCTTGTCTGCTGTTTTTCATTTTAGAGATCCTAGCAGGAACGAGGTGCTATCTCGTTGTGGTTTTTATTTCTCTAATGACTAATGATGTTGGCCATCTTTCATCTTACGAACTACATGTATGTCTTTGCCCAATTTTTAATTAAATTATTGAATTGTAAGAGTTCTTTGTATATTCGGATTAGAGGCCACATGTCAGAAGTATGATTTTAAAATAGTTTCTCCCATTCTTTTGGTTGGCCAGTGGTGGGTGTACAAAGTGTATGTCACCGTGCCTGCTGGGAATCAAACTCAGGTCTTCATGCTTGCCATGCAAGCACTTTACCAACTGACCTATCTCCTCAGCCCACTTTTCACTTTCTTTGTGGTATCTTTTGAAGCACAGAGATGTTTAATTAGGTGAGAAACCACCATCTAACCCGAGGTAACAAGGATTTACTCTTGAAGTGAAGATGTAATTCAGTGGTTAGAGTGCTTATCTAGCGTGCATGAAGCCCTGGGTTCAGACCTTGGCACCACATAAAGTGGGTGTGGTGGTGCACGCCTGTAACCCCAGTACTTGGGAGGTAGAGACAGGAGGATCAAGAGTTCAAGGTCCTCCTTAGCTATATATCGAGTTTGAGACCAGCCTGGACTACATGAGACCCTCACTCAAAAACATTTTTTTTTTTTACTCTTATGTTTTCTTCTCTAACTCTTAATTTTGTAGCTTAGTTTGACTTCCCTGCTGATGACCCCAGTCAGTACAAAAGGGCTTTCTAATCCAACAGGAGACTTCTCAGTAAAGGGAAAAATAAGATTGTAAATACTTGCTTCTTAATTTTAATGTGATTTTAACACAAATAATTGTGTTCTAATATAGTATATAATGATGTTTAATTATAATTTAATGTAATTGTCCCTCATACACATAGTTATTGACCAGTTGCATTTTTTCTTTGCTGAGTTTCTTGCTCCTGTCCTTAGGACGTGTAATTTTACTGTACTCCATGTGAGGGGCTGTGGTCCTTTGGTCTAAATGAGTTAAAGTTTAAAAATTGGTGGTATAAAGGGTTGAGTTAAATTATAAAGAAAAAGTTAGGGAGGGATGTGGACTCGGGATGGGTAAAAAGAAAATAATAGGAATTAAAAGGGAAAGAAGAGAGGTGAATGAATTAGGAGAAATTAGATATGGGGCGTCGAAGAGAGAGGACCTGAACTTGAAAGCTTGGGAAACTAGAATTTGAGATCATTGTGCCACAAGTAGCCAAGAAAGAGATCAGTGAAACTCACATTTGACCTTGTGTCCTTGAAGCCAGATAACCTTAAGCAAAAGAGAACTTTAGCTCATCAGAGGTAAAACTTGGTAGAGAAGATGCCCTTATCCTAGTAATCCCAGTAATGAAGGCTAAAACTAAACAAAATTGGAGCACTTTAGTAGGTTCTGAACTCTGGTCTTTTATAAACAAATATCAAGGTTGTTTGGGGTCCCTCATATTGGCCAGGTCTTGTGTAAGGGTGTGATAGAGTAAGGCGAAAGGATTGAGATGGCTACCACCCCCATGAGGGAGGGAGAGGTTGGTGTCAGCCATGCATCTGATGCCCACTGCCTGCAGTTATGAAGGCCCAGCACAGTAGTGAGAACAGGAAGAATACATAGCCCACAGTCAGGGATGAGCATTGAGGTTCATAGCAGACAAGGATGGTCAGAGCTGGCAGTCTTTGGTCAAATGATGTAGTGTATTTTAAAATACATTTCTTACAAAACTACAGCTTATTCCTGTGAGTACACGATACAAGTGTCACGCGTTTTCTCATCTGTAAGCTTGCATGCTTTCGCTGTATGCAGGCATCTCTGTCCCTAAACTGCTTTGCACCCTTTCAGACATCCTTCGTGGTTTTTCCTAGTCACATCACTATCCATACTTTTTTATGCTCAGAATTAGTCATTATTTGTTGCTTGGAAGAGAAGGGGAGGACCAGCACGATGGCTTAGCGGGTAAAGGCACTTGATGCTAAGCCTGACAACCTGAGTTCAATTCCCAGGACTCACGTGGTGGAAGTAGAGAACCAACTCCCACATGTTGTCCTCTGACCTCCACCCACGTGCTATGGCACTCATTCTCAATAAATAAATTAACTTTTAAAAAGAAAGGGAAAGTTTTGCCCTGAGCTCACCAGCCCTTCTGTGTGTCACCAAGGCCTGGTCTTTTGGATGCATGGTGACCTTAACATGAAGAGGGACCTCAGGACCTTGGACTCTGCAAAGCAGACAGTATAGTGGCCCCCTACCCATCCTGTTGGGCTGTGCTCTCAGAACTCCACCTCGACTATCTAGGACACTCACCCATCTGAAAATTTAGGGGAGGGCATGCCCCTGATTTCCAGGGAGGTGACATTAGGTTCCCTTTCTTTTCCTCTCTCTCCAGGTGCCAAGCTCTCCTGATGAAATGTGTTCTGCCCCACTGGGCTCTGAGGGCATTGTCTGGTGCTGTTGATGCCCTTGTTCAAACTTTACAGAATGGATAGTCCCCCGAAGCTGACTGGAGAGACCCTCATCGTCCACCATATTCCCCTAGTGCACTGTCAAGTCCCAGACAGGCAGTGCTGTGGAGGGGCAGGTGGAGGTAGTGGGAGCACAAGACCCAATCCCTTCTGCCCACCCGAGCTGGGCCTCACCCAGCCTGATCAAGACCTGGGACAAGCCGACTCCCTGCTCTACAACAGTCTGCACTCTGCTCCAGGGCCGTCTACACGGTCTTCAGATAGCAACAAGAGTAGGGGTCGGGATGGAAGAGGTCCCGGAGCCCCCAAACGTCACAATCCCTTCTTGATGCAGGAAAGTGTGGGTGAGACAGGGCTTGGTGACCTGTATGATGACAGCGTTGGTGACAGTGCCACCCAGCAGTCCTTCCACCTGCATGGCACTGGCCAGCCCACCTTCCATCTGTCTTCTTTCCAGCTGCCACCATCTGGGCCTGGAGTGGGTAGGCCATGGGGGGCAACACGTAGCCGGCCCGGCGTGGTGGAGGGGCAGGAACAGGAGCCAGTGACAGCCTTGCATACCCAGCAGGGTAGCACTAGCCACTGTGGCCGGCCAGAGCTGGAAGCTGAGACCATGGAGCTGGATGAATGTGGGGGACCCGGGGGGAGTGGCAGCGGAGGGGGAGCCAGCGATACCTCTGGCTTTTCCTTTGACCAAGAATGGAAGCTCAGTTCAGACGACTCCCCAAGAAACCCTGGACGCTCTGGCCCGGGCGTTCAGCACTGCCGCTGCAGTAGCACATCCAGTCAGTCAGAGGCAGCAGACCAGTCCATGGGCTATGTCAGTGACTCTTCCTGCAACAGTTCAGATGGTGTGCTCGTCACCTTCAGCACCCTCTACAACAAGATGCATGGCAGCTCCCGTGCCAACCTCAACTCTGTCCCTCAGTCCTGCAGTGACTCCTCCTTCTGCAGCCACTCAGACCCTGGAGCCTTTTACCTGGACCTGCAGCCCTCCCCAGCTGAGTCGAAGATGTCTTGTGAGTCTCACCACCCTGAGAGTGGAGACAGGGAAGGAAGCTACAGTTGTCCTCATGCCTTGTCTCCTGAGCTCGATGCCAACTGCAACTCCTACCGCCCACACTGTGAGCCCTGCCCAGCTGTGGCTGACCTCACAGCCTGCTTCCAGAGCCAGGCCCGTCTTGTGGTAGCCACACAAAATTACTATAAACTTGTCACCTGTGACCTGTCCTCTCAATCATCCCCAAGCCCTGCTGGCTCTTCCATCACTAGCTGCTCTGAAGAACACACCAAGATAAGTCCTCCACCAGGCCCTGGCCCAGACCCAGATGCTAGCCAGCCCTCTGAGTATTACCTCTTCCAGAAGCCAGAAGTCCAGCCAGAGGAACAAGAAGCAGTGGCTTCCCCAACAGCAGCAGCAGCTACCATGGGCCCCACAGTTCTTGAAGGGCAAGTGTACACAAATACTTCACCCCCTAACCTCAGCACCGGCCGGCAGCGCTCTCGCAGTTACGATCGTAGCCTGGAGCGCAGCCCTCCTGTCCGCCTGGGCTCACTGGAGCGCATGCTGAGTTGCCCAGTACGCTTAAGTGAGGGCCCTACAGCCCTGGCTGGATCTGGTTCCTCACCCAAGAGGGTTACCTCCTTTGCTGAGCTGGCCAAAGGCCGGAAGAAAGCCACAGGCTCTGGCTCCCCACCACTTCGGGTGAGCGCTGGGGATTCTTCCCAGGAGTTCTCACCCATCCAGGAAGCCCAACAAGACAGGGCAGGCCCACTTGACAAGGGCACTCGCTGTAGCCATAGCCTGCCATCCATGCCCTTGGGACCAAGCCTGGACCTACTTGGTCTAGAACCCTGGTCGACCCAGGTCTGTCAGGGCTCCCAGTCCAGTGAGATGCCACCTGCTGGCCTCAGAGCTGCTGGGCAAGGCCCCCTGACCCAGCTGATTGATCCAGGGCCTGCTCTCCCAGGGAACCCAGCCAACAGCCATACCCAGAGGGATGCAAGAGCTAGAGCTGACGGTAAGGAACTTAAAGGATATCAGGATATGCACTCAGCACATACCATCAGGGACTCCTCAGCCTAGATTCCCCAGCACTGCCCTGAGGTGGGAGGTAGGGGGGCAGATAAGCCAAAGAGATCAAATCATCAGGACTTAGAGACTGATGTAACAGATTACTCAGAAGATTGTGATTCTGAACCTGGATGACTGAAAAGAATAGCACTTTAAAGACAAGTAGATTTACTGAAAGAGAGACGAAGTATGCGCTCAGTTTTAGACATCCAAGAATTTACATGCATTAGGGGCAATGAGGGACACGTCCAACAGGGAAACCACACTGTATAACAGTGAAGTTCTTTCTTTGATCGGTGATTGTAATCTCTCCCTGAAGAGCCTGAGATCTAGGCTGGATGCAGTGGCATGTGTCAGTAGTCTCACTATTCAGGAAGCTGAGGTAGGAGGATCGCTTGAGCTCAGAAGCTTGAGGCCAGTCTAGGCAACAAAGTGAGACCTAGTCAAAAAACAAAACAAAACCCTCAGATCTGACCCTTGACCTTTAGCTCCAAATTGCCCTCCTAAGCCAGTCCTTCCAGCCCCTATTTTTATTATATTTTAAGTAATTATACCAGATTCTATTCTAAAGTTGTACTCAGAGATGAGAGATAATTTCTGTCCCTAAGGAATTCCGGTTAAGGACAAAAATAAAAGTCAGTCATTCAGATGCAAAGGTGGCAGTGTATGGTACTAGTCACCGAGAAGGCCGTCTGCCGGTACTAGTCACCGAGAAGGCTGTCTGCCGGAGTGTCCGCGTACATTTAAGCCCAGTCGGCTTTTTGGAGTCACGTAAGAACATTGTAGGCTAGTCCATAGAATATAGTAGAAAGATTTTAGAAGACTTTGTACTAAACCACACAAGCACAAAGGAGTTTGATGTTTTCCAGAAACTGAAGCACACTAATTCCACATAGTGGCTGGGGGGAGATGAACAAGTGAAGGATTTTAATCAGGAAGATGGCTATGTTGTTGTTTGGTTTGGCTTTTTGTGTGCTTAACAGCATGTTTTGACTTGCGTTTTAGAAAGGTCCTTGGTGGTTTGGATAGAGGATTGGCTAGAAACTTTTCCTAGAAGCTAGGAGAAACCACTGCATAGATATAAAACCACTGGATGAAGAGCTGTAGTTAAAACTATGAGGTCATCCAGGAAGAATGTGTGGAGTTATCAAATAAACAAGATAGAGCCCTGGGGATGCTGTGATTTAACAGCTGAGCGCAGCAACTGGGCTTGATGGGGCACATCTGTAATTCCAGCAATCAGGAAGTGGAGTCAGGAAAATCAGAAGTTCAAGACTGGGCCAACTGGTAAAGGCACTTGTAGCCTAAGCCTGGCAACCTGAGTTCAATCCCTGGAACCCATGTGAAAGGTAGAGAGAACCAACTCCACAAAGTTGTACGTATACACATACACACACACACACAAAATAATTTTTTTTTTTTTGGTCTTTTTGAGACAAGGTCTCCCTGTAGCCCCAGCTGGCCTGGATTTGCTATGGAGACCACCCTGGCCTCAAACTCACAGAGATCTGCCTGCCTCTGCCTCCCTAGTGCTGGCAGCAACTTTTGTAATTTAAAAGAGGGGCTGGGGAGCTGGTTTAGTGGTTAAAGCACTTGCCATGCAAGCAGGAAGACCAGAATTCCATGTGAATGCCATAAATTCTGAGTGGGTGTGGCGGCTCACTTGAATTGCAGCCTTGGAAGGCAGAGAGCAAGCTAGCTAGCTAGACTAGGCATATCCACATGCTCTGGGTTTGACTGAGAGACCATACCCCAATGAATAAAGTAGATGAGGAGTGATCAAGGATGATTCCCAACATAAGCCTTGAGCCTATGCACACACATGGAAGCATGTATGCATACATATAAATGCCACACCACACACACATGAAAATGGAAAAAAATAATTTTAAAACAGAACATCATCTTTGGCTACATAGTTAGTTCAAAACCAGCTTAAAATATATGAGACCCTATCTCAAAACAAAACAAAAAATACAAAAAGAAGAAAGAGGGAGGGAAGAAGAGGCAAGGAGGGAGCCATTAAAAGTACTTTTGTGGGGCTGAGAAATGGCTCAGTGGTTAAGAGCACTGACTCAGCTCTTGCAGAGGACCTGGTTCAATTCCTAGCACCCACATGGCAACTAGCAAATGTCAATAACTCCAGTTCCAGGGGATCCAGTGCCCTCTTCTGACCTCCACGGCATTGCACAACACAGGTGCACTTACATACTTGCAGGCAACATTCTCATACACATAAAAATAATAAAATATTTTTTTTAAAAAGTACTTTTATTAGCCAGGTATGGTGGGACACCTTTAATCACAGCAACTGGTAAGGCAGAGGTAGATCTCTGTGAGATCGAGGCTAGCCTGGTCTACATAGCAAGTTCCAGGCCAGCTGCAACTACAGGGAGACCCTGTCTCAAAAACAAAAAAATTAAAAAGTACTTTTATTGGGCCTATGAAATGGCTCATCAGGTAAAGGCATTTGCTGACAACTGTTCAGTCCCAGACACACATGATAGGAGAGAACGAACTCCATTAAGTTGTCCCTTGACTTCCCACATGCCTTTCACCTCTTACACACACAAAGTAAATTTTACTGTTTTCGGATGAGACTCTTTTTGAACACAGGGTCTCTTGCATCTCAGGCTGGTCTTGAACTCACTGTGTAGCTTTTGACCCTACTGCCTCTACTGCTGGGATCACAGGCGCGCACCACCTGCTGGGCACCACCATGCTGGGTTTATTAGTGCCAAGGCTTCCTGCCTACTAGACAAGCACTCTACCAGATGAACTGCATGCCCTGTCCCCAGACAAAACTTTCTCTATCAAGACAACTCACTGTGTAGCTTTTGACCCTACTGCCTCTACTGCTGGGATCACAGGCACGTACCACCTGCGGGCACCACCATGCTGGGTTTATTCAGTGCCAAGGCTTCCTGCCTACTAGACAAGCACTCTACCAAATGAACTGCATGCCCTGTCCCCAGACAAAGCTTTCTCTATCAACATAGTGCACTGTTGGATAAGTCTTCAGGCACCTATCAAGGACTTTTCTCTTGATTCCGTACACTTTTTTTTTGGTATAGCCCCAGCTGACCTGGGTCTAGATCCTCCTGCCTCTGCCTCCCAAATGCTGGGACTAAAGGTGTGTGCCACCACTTCCGGCCCTCTGTACATCCTTTTTAAAATCTATAGATAAATTGAAAGTTCATTGAAATTATGGATGACCAAAGAGAAGACAGGCGGTCCAATATGGAAATGATAGGAAGAAGCTAAGAAGTCTCCTTGAGACCCCGAGCAGCAGGATCAAGATTCAGAAAAAGGATCTTGCCACATGTCAGCAGAGCAAAGCTAACAAGCAGGGCCCAAAGTGAAACATAAACCGTACTGCAGCTGACTGGGGTGCTTAATTGATTGCAAACTCCAGCCGGCAGTTTCAGAAGACAGAAAAAGTTGAAATGACAGATTCACTGGTAGATTCCAGCAGAGGAGAGTTGATAGTCCCTCCCTCTTTTGAAACTGAGTGCTGACTGGTTTTCCATGGAGTTCTGAATGTGGCATTTTAAGAAGGAACTGAGGGACTAGGGCTATTTTATCCATGCAGACAAGCTCACATGACTATGATCTTTGACTCAAATTTTCCTAAGAACCTTCACACAGAAAAGTGAGAAAACCTTTTCTCTATTCCCTGAGGGCACAACTAATACCCACTGCCCTAAGTGGGCTCCCTTATTACCTAATCTTATTCTTCTGTCCCCTATTATATCTTGAGAATAGCAAGGAGGGTTTTCTTTGAGCTAGGGTTTTACCACGTAACCCAGGCTGGCTTCAAGTTTAAGATCCTCCTGACTCAGCCTCTCAAGTGCTGGGATGATTGACATGTGCCGCCACATCCAGCAGCAGACAGGATCTTTTTTAAGAATAGGAGTAAATAGTTAATGCAGACATTTTATAGAAGCGCTAATAAAGCTAAGGTTGTAATAAAGCTGTGATTGGGAGTGCCTAATCTGAGAGCCAGCATCAATTCAGCCATGAAATGTGATTCAGTAAGTCAAAGGAAGAGACAGGTAATGGGAAAAGCAGTGTACTTAAAGTGGGGCTGAAGGGGAGGGGGATGGGATATACCTCAGTGGGACAGCACTTGCTATATGCACTAGGCCCTAGTTCAATCCCCAGTTGGGGAAGAGGATAGAGTTCAGTCAGTGAGGATGACAGATCTGGGAATTTGCAGAGTCACCTAATTTACAGCAGATAAGGGCACCTACCTGCCCGAGAACATTGTCTTCATTCTGTGTCTGTATTCTGTGATAAGAATCACAGAAAACAAATTGGCTTTTCAGGAAACTAGATTTATGTAAGACGGCTTGAGATACAGTGAGACTGGCCTGAATTAAGAGTAGAGATTCATTCATTCAGCTGTTCAGGTCCTGTTGTGTATCCAGGGCCTATATTAGGCGCTAGGTACAGGGATGACTAGTATAAAACTTTATGAAAAGTAATAGACAATAAAAACATTAAATATACTTCCTGACAATGGAAAATAGAAAAAGAACACAGAGCAGGAAAATAGCATAGAGTGACTTGCTGGATGGCCAGAGTGGTCAGAGGTCTTACCAGAAGAGTGGTGCTAGAGCTGGTGCCTGAGGATGAGACTGCGGGCAGAAGGAACAGCAGGGGCAAGAGGCCCCAAGACGTTAAGGAATGTGGGGTGATTAAGGACTGAATGAAGTGACTGGAAAAGGCAAGAATGACAAAGTGCCCTCTAAGCACTGGGGTCTGTAAGAAGGTAGAGTTTGAAAGACTCCCAGAGCATGATTTTAAAACACTTCTGTAATGAGACTGGGGTACCTAGCCCTTATGACTCATTTTTGTAAATAAGAAGGATGGGTTGGAAAACCCAGCCTGATATCACTTCATGTGTGATGTAATGTGGTAAAGAACATTGGTCCCAAAACCAGACTTTGGCTTGGACAAAATTCTGGCTCTGCTATTTCCTAGTTGTGTGACCTGAACTTGACAATGACTTATGTCTCTCATTTTAAATTTTCCTGCTCTGTGTATGGGAGGGTGGTTCATACCTATAATCCCAACACTTAGGAGGCTAAGACAGAAAGATCTGGAGCCCAAGGCCATCCTTGGCTATATAGCATTTTCGAGGTCAGCCTGAATTATATGAGGCCCTGTCTCAACAGAGCAAAAATAAAATTCTTTGTCTGATAGGTAAGAAGATGAATTCCTGCCTTTTAGAGTTGTGAACCACCCAGCTAGTGAACCACGCCCAGGATTTTAGGGCCTGTGGATGTGTATGGCACCACCTTGTGTTTATTCAGATGCCTACAAGCATGAGCCTTGTTTTATTAGGCGAGCAGTTTCTAGATAAGCACTGTGGCACCCTGCATTGTCCTGGAATTCTGTGTTTAGTTCTGAGACCCGTTTTTTTTGTTTGTTTGTTTTGTTTTGTTTTTAAGGAACGTTGGCTTAAAACTGGATGGAAGAACAAAATAGGACTAGAATCATTTACCACACTCCTGTGCAGAGAGAGAGTAGGCCTGAATGCTGAGTAACGAGAGAGTCAGGAAGGAGCAGGCATGTGGCTGCATAGGGTAGCAGGAAGGCTGGTCTGGCTGCAGGGAGAGAACTGTCGTGTTGCTTTCTTGCTCAGAACTGAAATGTCTTGGTGCAAGTGGACAGGGAGTGATGCGCGAATGAAGACGTAGAGTCGGTAACATCTTGGTGCCCCTCATCTGTGGCTCTTTCATTGGTTCTGCCATGACAGGTAGAAGTCATCAGGAAAAATAGACAAAGGTGACGAATAGATGGTGATGGAGTTTGAAGGCCTCCCCAGGATGTGATTCTGAACCACTTCTCAAATGAGGCTGTTCGGGGGTGTGGGATTCATCTGTGTGAAAGTCTGAAATGTAGCTGTCCTTTGCATGAGAGAAAACAATGCAATCTAAGCATTAAGCTTTGAGAAACACTGTAACACCTTTGGGGTAAAGAAAATGAAGCCTAAGGCAGTCCAGATCATAAAAACCTGGGAGGAATTTTAAAGAAGGAACGAGTGTCCCAGCCCACCAGTATGGCTTATGCTGCCTTATGCCCATTCAGTTCCTATGACACAGATTGCCCAACTTTCCTGTAGGGCATTATCTCTGCTTTGACATTTCATATGGGTTTCAATGCCTCTCCATCTGATTCCTTCTCCATCCCTGTTGCTACAGGGGGTGGCACTGAGAGCCGACCAGTCCTTCGCTACAGTAAGGAGCAGAGGCCAACCACGTTACCCATCCAGCCCTTCGTGTTCCAGCACCACTTCCCCAAGCAGTTGGCCAAGGCCCGGGCCCTCCACAGCCTTTCCCAGCTCTATAGCCTTTCGGGCTGCAGTCGTGCCCAGCAGCCTGCCCCACTGGCTCTCTCTACTGCTCAAGGCCCAGTCCCAGCTCCCTCAGGGGAGCCACAGGCATTCACATCCCAAACCACTAGCAGGAGTGCCAGAAAAGCTGGGCCTGAGCCAGAGACCTCACGGCCATCGCCTCTGGGAAGCTACTCTCCCGTCCGAAGTGCCGGCCCTTTTGGGCCCAGCACTGACTCTTCTGCCTCTACTTCCTGCTCCCCTCCTCCAGAGCAGGCCACAGCAGCAGAAAGTCTACCCCCATGGAGTCTCTCCTGTCCTCCCACTGTGGGGCCTGCCACCTCCCAGCAACTACAGAAGGAGGATCAGAAGATACTGACCTTAGCTGAGTACCGGCTCCATGGCACAGGCTTGCCACCTCTGGGCTCCTGGAGATCTGGCTTTACCCGGGCAGAGAGCCTGGCTCGAGGAGGTGGTGAGGGCAGCATGACCTCCAGGCCCAACAATGGTATGAACTTCATCCCCAGCCTAAGTAATCCTATGTCTCGTTTGAATGGTTTCTTAGACTTTCAGCTGGCATCATATCTTCCTCAGCATCTGTGGATAGCTGCTCCAGTCCCCTAACCCTAGAGTTTCACATGGGCCTTGGGGTGGATATGAAATGCTGTCTTCTAACCCCGGTCTTTGTGTCTCTACTCATCTGCTCTGCTTCCAGCCAACCATTTGTCCCCTCAAGCCCTCAAGTGGCGAGAATACCGAAGGAAGAATCCATTAGGGCCATCTGGTTTGTCAGGGAGCCTAGACCGAAGGCCACAGGAAGCTCGGCTGGCCCGTAGGAACCCCATCTTTGAGTTCCCCGGTTCCTTCAGTGCTGCCAGCCATCTGAACTGCCGACTGAATGGTGTGTGGCCAAGGTCCCTGGTGTACCCAGAGGAGGCTGGGAAGGGCTGGAGAAGGGGTCGTCGGCATGTCTCGGGGTGTGAGGGGCTCAGCTGAGCTAGAATTCCTAGAAAGTGTTGCTCAGGGTTAATTTTTCTCTTTCTAGGTCATGCTGTAAAGCCATTACCACTGACCTGCCCTGACCTCCAGGACCCCTTTTCCTTAACTGAGAAGCCTCCAGCAGAGTTTTGTTTATCTCCAGATGGCAACTCAGAGGCCATTTCCATCGATGTGCTTCAGAAAAAAGGTGCATATTAATAGCCCAGACGAAGGGTTCTGCTGTCACTACCTAGCATGCCTGGCACCCTACTGCCTAATCCAGAATGTCTCCATCCTAAAACCCCCAATGCTAACAAGGAGTTGGTGAGCACTGGGGCAAGAGATAGAAGTTTGCGTACTGTGGGAGTCAGCAGGAGTCATTTATCAAGCTTAATCAGGTTTCGGCCCCTACTTCAGTGCTTCAGTGAAATCTTAAGTACAGAGGAATGTGTAATTTTTTTTGTCTTTTTGAGACAGGGTCTCCTTGTAGTCCCAGCTGACCTGAACTCACTATGTAGATCAGGCTGGCCTTGAACTCACAGCGATCTGCCTGCCTCTGCCTACCAAGTGCTGGGATTAAAGGCGTGTGCCACCATGCCTGGCTTGAGTGTAATTTTTTAAAGTCCCTAATGGGTGTACTTGAAGGCATGCTATAGGGCATAGCAGCTTGGGTAAGTATGTTGGTGACCTGAGGAGACAAAGACTGACAAGAACAGGCTGCTTAGCAAATTGGTGACCACTGACCTAAGAGCAACTTCAGGGAGATGGTGGGGAAGTAGCCAAGCATAGTTGTGGGATAAACGGGCATGACCCTGAGAAAGGAGAAAAGGAAGCTAGAGTTCCTTATCGAGGCCAGGTGAGACTCAAAGATTAGAGAGAGGAAGGAACTGTCCATGAAGAGGAACAGCACCTGCTTCCAAGATGAGAGAGTGAGAGGAAGGACAAGAGGAAGGGGAGGGGCTAGACCCCCAATGTGGTTATATTTTTGAAGGAGAGAGAAGTTGAAGGAATTCATGACCTCTGTTCTCTTTGTGGCTTTGAAACCCAACATGGGTAAAAGTTTGCCACAGCAACTTGAGTGTATAGCAGTGGCTGACGTTGAGGTGGCACAAACCAAAGGATTGTCCTTGTATGACAGCAGTGTGAGGGACTCGGGTCTTCTCCAGCAGCCAGTGCCCTGGTTTCTCAGAACAGAGAAGACTAAGAGTTGGAACAGTGGTAGCACTGAGGTGGATCCAGGCTAGGAGGTAAAGAGAGAGGGGCTGGAGAACTGACAAACACAGAAAAAGGGCCAGGCCTAGAGGTTCCCGTGAAATCCATGGACAGGCGCAGAGACTGATTGAGTGTGCAGGACTTCCCCTTCCCCACCAAGAGTTCAGCCCCTACTGTGCTGGCTAGAAACTTGCAAAGGGACCTGTCACATTAAATTCTTCTTTGTAGGACTGATAAAAGCTGTCAACACTGCTGTGGACCTTATTGTGGCCCATTTTGGCACAAGCCGAGATCCTGGTGTTAAGGTAAGCAAGAAAACGTGGAGAGCTGAGGTGTGCCCTGCAGACTGTCACCTGTGGTATGCTGTCACCTTCCTTTGCTCTCTTGGATTCAGAGCCCAGAGTTGGAACTCTGGGATGGGAATGGCAAGAGGGGAGCCACGAGGGCTAAGTGAAGACCAAGAACAGGCTTCTCGTGATTGCTTGAACTTTCCTCTGCATCTGCAGGCGAAGCTGGGAAACAGCTCTGTGAGTCCCAACATAGGCCACCTGGTTCTGAAGTACTTGTGCCCTGCAGTCCAAGCCGTGTTGGAGGATGGGCTCAAAGCATTTGTACTAGACGTCATCATCGGGCAACGTAAAAACATGCCTTGGAGTGTGGTTGAGGCTTCCACACAGCTAGGTAGGTGCTAGATTGCAACATCAAGGCTTCAGACTGAGGGTTCCAGAAATCAGCCATGTGATCTCCAACTCTGTCATTTTCCCAGGCCCATCCACCAAGGTCCTGCATGGTCTGTACAACAAAGTCAGCCAGTTCCCAGAGCTCACCGGTTATACTATGCGCTTCAATGCCTTCATCCTCGGCCTGCTCAAGTAAGTGCACAACAGCAGGATCTCCTAAACAGTCGGCCCACTATAGCTCTGCTTCTTCTATGGTGCCAGCTGCCTGGACCAAGACAGAAGGGTCTGTGCCAGGCCTCAGGCTCCCTTTCTCCCACCTAACTACAACCTCTCAGCAGGCACTTTCCTACTGTGTGCACCCCCATCCTCTGAAGAGCACGCTCTTCTCTCACAGATCCATAGCCTGGCCTATTTAGAAACCAGGATCTTGAGAACTGTGATCCTCTCAATTCCAGCCTTGCTTCTAAATTCTGCTTGACCCCTAAACTCACCTTAGAACCTGTCCCAGTAATAGTATTTCCCAAGCATCAGCCAGATCATCCCTATATCCCCGAGCAACCTGTTCTCTCACTCGGTAGCCACCCTGACTTGTGCAGGCTGACTTGAGGAAATGACCAAGTGTTTACCCCACTCCCCACGTCTCCACTGGCTTTCTAGAATTATATGAATGAAGTGAACTGGGTAGCACCTCTGCCGTAGATGTTCATCTATGCTTCCTCCCTGTACCTGTCTCGTTTGTACCTTATTATCTGGCTGTATCTACACAAGACTTAATAATCCTTTTCACCTATCTCTCTATAGCATCCGGTCCTTGGAGTTCTGGTTTAACCACCTCTATAACCATGAAGGTAATGCCCACAGCCTGCTCTGCCTCACCAACTCCAGTGTAGGAATCTGTCTTTTCAGAAGCCTGAGGTGGGGAGGAGGGCCAGCCAGACTTTCATTCTCAGAATCTGTAGCTTCTGCTCAAGACTTTCCCCAGCTTCTACTTGACTTAGAATCTTGGAGGCAGGAGCAGACTCAGGCAATCTAGAAGTTGGGTGGCCATGAGCTCCAGCATCTTCTCTAAACTCAAAGCTATCACTTCAAGCTATGGAGTGTACGCGAAGGCTTTGTGTACACTGGAGCAGAGTACACAGCCAGAACAGGTGCACACAGCGACTGGTCCAGGCTGCCTTTCAGTGTTCCACTCCAGCCAGTCTCTGCTTCTCTGTGTGAGTCAGGCCCCCTTTTTCCCTAGATATCATCCAGACGCACTACCAGCCCTGGGGCTTCCTGAGTGCCGCGCACACCGTGTGTCCCGGCCTCTTTGAAGAGCTGCTGCTTTTGCTACAGCCCTTAGCCCTGCTGCCCTTCAACCTCGACTTGCTCTTCCAGCACCGGCTGCTGCAAAGTGGGCAACAGCAGCGGCAACACAAGGAACTGCTGCGTGTGTCCCAGGACCTACTTCTATCTGCACACTCAACATTGCAGTTGACTAGGGCCGGGGGCCAGGAGGGCCCCGGAGATGTGGACAGGATGGCCCCTGGGGAGCGGGTAAAGGGTGTGGGTGCCTCAGAAGGTGGAGAAGAGGAAGAGGAAGAGACAGAAGAGGTGGCAGTAGTCAGGGGGAGCACAGAGCATAGCAGGTGGGTCCGAGGTGGCCAGGGTGGCTGGTGGTACCAGCTCATGCAGAGCTCCCAGGTCTACATCGATGGCTCTAGTGAGGGCTCTAGATTTCCTCGAGGTAGCATCAACAGCAGCAGTGGCAGTGAGAAAAAGAGAGGGGTAGGAAGTGGGGGGCCTCCCCAGGTCCCACCCCCACGGGAAGGAGTAGTGGAGGGGGCTGAGGCCTGCCCTGCCCCTGAGGAGGCCCTTGGCCAAGAAAGGGGCTGGCCTTTCTGGATGGGGAGCCCCCCAGACTCTGTGCTGGCTGAGCTGAGGCGTAGTCGAGAAAGGGAAGGGCCCACTGTCCTGCCAGCAGAAAATGAGGAAGGGACTCCAGAGCCTTCACCTGGGGGCATCAAGTGGGGACACCTCTTTGGTTCCCGAAAAGCTCAGCGGGAAGCCCGGCCCACAAACAGGTGAGAGCCATGCCTGGTGGTGTGGGAGACTGTTCTAAATCAGGACACAGACAGAACCAGAGCCTGGCTCTTTTCCCCTAGACTGCCCTCAGACTGGCTAAGTCTGGACAAGTCTATGTTCCAGCTAGTGGCACAGACGATGGGGGCCCGCCGGGAGCTGGAGCCCCGGGAGAACCTGCAAGAGCCACGCTCTCCAGCCCTGCCCTCCAAACCTCCATGGTAAGCTCGGGGAAGTTAAGTACTGGGGGCTGGGTTTGGCTTTTGATAGGGCTTCTCTAACCTCCACTTGTTTCTCCAGTGAGGTGCAGGCACTGTGCCACCATCTGGCTACCGGCCCTGGACAGCTGAGCTTCCACAAGGGAGATATCCTGCGGGTGCTGGGGCCAGCTGGTGGGGACTGGCTACGCTGCAGCCGTGGCCCTGACACCGGCTTGGTACCTCTGGCCTATGTGACATTGACCCCAACTCCAAGTTCACCTCCTGGAAACAGCCAAAACTGAGGCCTTGTGCATGCTGGTGGCCTCAGGGACCCTCATAACCCCTAAGACTCAGAGCCTGAGAGTCCTTCCCAAGCCCTCAGGCTTGGCTACAAAAAGCAGACTGAGAGATAGGGGCCACATATTCCTGTGCTGGCACCTGCTCCCTGTGCTCAGTATTAATTACTCCCCCTTAACTGTCCCAGCGGCTTTGTCCAGACCTCCACCCAGGAAAGGAGGGAAGGGACACAGCACTGGGCTGTCAGGATTTTCCCCAGCCCATCTGGGCCAACACATTCATGTGTGGAGACAAGTCCCTATGGAGGGAGGTGGCCCATGAGGTCATTTGTAGGTTCACTAGGCTCAGTGGTAATAAGGATGGGTAACAGTATTGGGGCCAGAGCCCTAAACCCCCCTCACTGTAAATAGGCTGTGACCAGTGCCTGGTCATCAGAATAGGGAGGAGCCCAGGCCTCTGTTTATGTATTTATTTATTTATTTATTTATTTATTACACCTATTAATAAAAAAGGTGCTCAGCCTCCAAACCAGTTTCTTTGTGTTCCCCCACCCTCCTGCCCACATCTTTGTGCTTCCCACCCCCATCCTCCTGCCCACCTCTCTTCCCTCCAAAAAGATGAACAGGATAAGATGAAAAAGGAGAACTTGAAGTCCAGGTACCTAAGCCAGGAGCTGCTTCCGAGGGGTGCTGAGGCCCAGAGCATCATGGGTAAGATGCCCAAATGTGCGGCCAAACTGGAACTTATACCCTGCAAAGCCAAGAGAGTTTTATCATGTATAGCCAGTGACATGAATTAAATGAAGCCATTTGATTATCAGCCAATTGTATAAACCCCCAAACTGCCTTTCAAAATCTGCTTCCAACTCCCCACTGTGAGCAATCTCAGTTTCCTTTTCTAACGATAAAGCTTATTCACAGGATCTGAAATCCCTCCGGAGATATGTTTGTCCCAGTCCCCCAAACTACCCCTACCTACACCTACATCCCAGCCCCAAAGCTTCCCACATATTATCACCTGGCACATAACCTCCATAATGAGGTAGAAGACCCAGGTTATGAAGGTTGGCTCTGGGAAGTGGAGAGAGCGTTTTGGGATCCTTCTGGGCCCTGCCCCGTGGGCACTTCTGCCCAAATTCCAGCAGTGCCTGGTTGGTGAGCACAGGGAAGCTGGAGCCGAAGAGGAAGCGGGCACATGGCACATAGCCAGTGAAGCCTGGGAGGATGGAGATGCTGAGTCAAGACACCCTGAGCATTTCCCCGTTCCTTTGGCCATTACCCACCTCCTCTCACCTGACATGAAGAACTTTTGAGGGTCTGCATCATCCATGGAGTAGGGGGAAGCCTTATGAGACGTCGATGGAGGAACAACAGGCCTGGTTAAGTTCAAACTCCCAGGAGATGGAGCTGGCAACCCAGCCCCATCCTGGACCCACAACCATATCCCCCCGCCCCCCCCCCCGCTCCCGCTGCATGCCTGGACACACATAAGGCTCCCTACTCCCACCCTCCACACTTCTCACTGGCCCGCTCCATCTCACTTGTTTCATCTCCTGCTTCAGCTCTGGCTCCTCTGCCTCCAGCTCTTGTTCTCTCTCTACCTCTTTTTCTCCCTTGGCCTCATTTGGGATCTCATGTCTTTCCTGTTCCCCATGCTGCGGTGTAAAATCACTCAGAGCCTCTGCCCAGACCTGGTTGCAGTTCTTAGCAAAAATGAACTTTGCCTGGGGTACAAAACCTAACAGACAGGGGCAAGGAATATTTGTTAGTATTTAGGACACCTCTGGGAAAGGGACACTGGGTTCAGACCTGTGTACAGACCTGTGTACCCGGGGATCATGCTGGAGCTGAGCCGTTCATGCCTGTGCCTGAGAGGTAGCCTCCCCCTGGGGATCTCGGGAGATCTTGGAGACCGAACGGGAGGTAGAAGCATGCGATGGGCAGGGGGCCAGGCTAGACCAGGAGGCCCTTGAAGTAACTGACTGGTCACCTGCCCATAGGTCTGGCCCATGCTGAACCGAAGTAGTGGGCAATGTCCAGTGTACCTGCAACACAGCACCCACTCAGCACCAGGCCCCTACCCTACCATCCCAAGACAGGAGGACAGACATGAAAAGCCCTGGACTTAGCTGTGTATATATTTGGACCAAATATTTCTGTTTCTTTTTCTTTAGACAGATTCTCTGTAGCCTAAGCTGGCCTCAAACACCTTTTGATCCTTCTGCACCAGCCTCTCCAGGGCTGGAATCACAGGCATGTACCACCATCCCCAGCCTGAGTTTATTGGTTGTTTTTGTTTTGCCAACTAGAGACTGAACCTAGAGCCTTGCCCATACAAAGCAAGCATTTTACCAGTGAGCTACTTCCCCAGCCCTGGGGCAAGCATTTCTAAGCCCTCTGCCTGGGCTTTCAATCCTTCCTCTCTACTTTTACCCTGTTCCCATGGAGAAGGCAACACAAAGCTTTGTAGCAGACCTAGCTAATCTATCCCCTTTCCATCCAACACCATAGCCCAGTTCTCAACCCAACATGTTAACTTGTCCCTGATGTCTAAGTGACCCAATTCCTGTGTCCCCAAACCCCTATTCCCAGAAGCCAGCAGGAAAGTGCTCTGGGAAGAAGTCTTACCCGGGGATATAATGAGGATTCTGAAGGTTGAGCCCTGGGATGAAGGCACTGGCCATAGCCATGGGAATCCAGGCAGCTCCTTTTATTTCCCTTCCAGCTGAGACTCTGGGCTGTGTGTACTGTGTCCAGGGCTATGAGGCCAGAGGAAGGAGGTGGGGCTGACCGTGGGGAAGGGAGGCACTGATGCAATATCACCAGGGCCACACCAGTAGAGCTTGAAGCCTCACTGATATAACTGCCCAGGTCCAATACCATCCCATATGGGGTAGGGAAGAAGGCAAGGGGTACACCTCCCCACCCCAAGAAAGCCTCAAGTAGGAGGTGGAGGCCAAGAACTGCCAGAGTCATTTGGCTTTATCTCAGAAGATGCCCTGCTTAAGGCCCTTCCTGGTTGAGCCTGGCTGAAGAGGGGTGTCTGTGATGTCCTGGGAAGCTTCACAGGAGCTGGAGTTTCTATAGAAAGATGCTTTGAGGGGAGCCTCGTTCCAAAGGAGAGATAACAGGGAGGTGGAGGATCCTAGAGATTCTAGACAGAAGCATTAAAATTATTCTCAATAATAAAACTGTGATTATTTACTGGATGCCTGTTACAATCTAAAGTGTCCACTCAACGACATGTCACGCTCTGCTTGGCACCTCGAGGATGGCAGTCTCTGCACTATATGGGAATCAGAAAAACTAAATTCCATGGCCTTTGGGTAAGACTGAGCCTCTGTCCTCGTCTCCAACTGTGAATGGTACTATTTACCTTGTCTACTCTGGGGCTCAAATGAATGTATACAAATGTTTATTTGCCACTGTTTTTCTAGTGCTGGGGACTGGGCCCAGGGTCTTGCATATGCTAAGCAAGTTCTCTACCACTGAGGTGTAGCCCCAGACCAGAAATGTATTTTTTAATTGAGAATGGTGGTGTACGGGCAAGAACTTGGGCATGAGACCACACAGGCTTTGACTCATATCTTGAGGACCTCAACATCTTGGAGTAGATAACTTCCTCTGAATCCAAATTCTCTGAACTATAGTGTGACCCTACCAAGGTACACTAAGGATAAAAAAGTGCTTAGCTGATGTGAGGGAAAAGAAGTGGTCATAGCTGCTAAAACTGAACTTCCCTTACTGACACATGGTGGAAGATCAGTGGATGATTATAAATCCAGTGGATGGGGTACTATTACTAGGGGAGTTCAGAAGAAAGAAATATACGTGACATTAGAGGATAAGACCAGAAGGCAAGTTAAATTTGATTTTTTTTTCTTTTAAGATTCAAATTCTAAGCCTACCCTTCTGGAGCTGCTGAAGTAAAAGCCCCTCTGGACCTACGAAGGGTCCTTAGAGAAAGTCTTAGCTCCTAAAAAGAGATCACAGGAGAAAATGGTGGTGATTTCTGCCTCTAGACTTTGTAGATGTGGCGGTGGAACTTTGGCAGGCATCTTGAACTCTTGAGAAAGCTAACCTTTGGACAGAGCCTAAATACACCGGAGAAGGCTGGGGGAGTAGAATGCCCTGGGATTGATAGTAACCTTGAGCCTCCAAATTAACCAACCTTTCTATTTCATACTGTTAAGGCTGCTTAAAGGTTTCTGTTACTTATAGCCAAAGGCATCATTACTTTAAAACTTTAAAAAATAGATGCTGGAGAGATGGCTCAGTGGTTAAGAGCACTGGCTGCTCTTGCAGAGGACCTGGGTTCAGTTCCCAACATCCACATGGCAGCTAACAACTGTTCAACTCCAGTTCCAGGGGATCCAACATCCTCTTCTGGCTTCCTCAGACATTGCATAACATGGATGCACTTACATACACGCAGGTAAAATGCTCATACGCATAAAATAAAAATAGATAAATCAAAAACTTTGAAAAATAAACTGGTTCAAAGCTTAGTATGGTCATACATTCTTCTAATACTGGCATTTGGGAGGCTGAGGCAGGAGGACTGTTAATTTGAGGCCTGCCTGGGATACATAGCATCTTCAAGGCTTAGCCTGGAATACACAGAAAGACTCTCTCAGAACAACTGTTTCACATTCTAACTTCACTAGATATGGATCTTGACCAAATTCACTAAGCCTGAGTTTTCTCAACTGGAAAATAGAGAACACATGTTATTACCTCATAGAATAGGATCAAACAGATGATGCACAATGAGCAAGCTCAGTGCTGATTTTAAGGTAAGTTGCCAACTAAATAGCATTCCACAATACTTGATGGGAATGGGAAAAAGAGTCAAGGGCAGTAACAGGTTGAGGGGTAGGAGAATGTATAAAACTGAAAAATGGAAAAGCTAGAATTTGAAGCTGAAGTACAGATTAGAATGCAGGAAGATAAGGAGTTTCTTTTGTGGGGAAAGGGGGACATTGAAGACAGGGTCTCATGTGTCCCAGGCTGACCTCAAACTCCCTATATAGCTGAGGATAACCTAGGATCCTCCTGCCTCTACCACCCTGGTATTGTATTTACCGGTATGGGCACACCTGGCTTGGAATAAGATTTTCCTGCAAAGAAGGCAGTTAGAGTGTTAGAACAAGTTTAGGGAGCTAGGGATGTGGCTCAGGGGTAGGCCGCTGGCCTGCTATGCACAAGGCCCTGGGTTCAATCCCCAGAACTGCCAAAATTTCGAAAAAGAAGAAACAAAAAATGTGAGTTAAGCAACATGTTAGGAGCTGGAGATATAGTGGCCTGCCTAGCATGCATAGGGCTCTGGGTTTAATCCCTAGCACTGCATAAATTGTGCATGGAAGCACATTTCTGCACTCACAGCACTTGAGAAATAGGAGCAAGAGCATAAGGGGCTCAAAGTCATCCTCTACTACATAGGGAGTTTGAAGTTGGGCTACACAAGAAAAAAAGCAGATTAGAATTGGTTTAGATTTATGTTATTTATGTGAGGAAGCCTGCTCTAGTTAGTGGAGTAGCCTATATTGCTCTGTATAGAGTATTTCTAAGCTCTTGAAGAGTGTTCTAACCTAGGAAAGAGGTGAAAGGGCAAGCTTATGGGCCCACAGAAAGTATCACTGTCTCTGTGCCTCTCTCCAGTGGGAGTCACCACAGTAACAAACTGCTCGTGGGCACTGCCTCATCCAGTGATCAGCGTTGGGTGCGGATGTACCACCTGGAAGATGATGGTCCAGTTAGGAAAGCACCAACAGCAACCTGCTGATTCTGCAAGCTTTCCAGGATTCAGAGTCAAAGCTCTCTGTCCTGCTCTTGATCCTGTCTAGGAATTTCTGTGAAGTTTCATACAGCTCCCAGGTCAATCTCTTGCCTGGTAGGTCTCTATAAGGGTGAGTAAAACCTAGGTAGCTAACAACCATCTGTAACTCCAGTTACATCAGAAACAAGGAAAGGATCTCATTTAGATTTTGATTAAAATAAACAACTTTTGAAAATCAAGCACAAGACAACGAGAAATGTGAACAACTGAATACTTGATATTAAGGAAATATTGGTTTGATTCGGTTTGGCTTTTTTACAACAAGGTCTTGCTATGTAGCCCAGACTGGCCCCAAACTCACGAATCTCCTGCCTCAACCCCCTAAGGTGTTGGGATTACAGATATTCATTTACCTGGCTTTTATTATTGCTTTTTATTTATTTATTTATTTTGCTTTTTTAAGATTATTCTAATTATGGGGGTATGTGTATATGTGTGCAAGTACTGGTGAAGGTTAGAAGAGGGCATCAGATCCCTGGAGCTGGAGTTACAGGCTGTTGTGAGCTGAGAACTGAACTCAGGTTCTCTTCAAGAACAGTCACCAACCACGTGTCGGGGCGCATGTGTGGAAGTCAGAGAACAACTTTGTAAAGTCAGTTCTTTCCTGAGTGTTGAATTCAGGTTCTCAAGATTATGTAGCAAGTACCTTTACCTGCTGAGCCAAGTGCCTTTACCTGCTGAGCCAAGTGCCTTTACCTGTTGCGCCATCTCTCCATCCCTAGAACAGGTTTTTAAAGGCAGGACAATGATACTATTTTGTTTTAAAGAAGAATCCTTATCTCTTAGAGGTTATGCATTGAAATTTTTACTGATGAAATAATGGCATAAATATGCAACCAAATAATGGAGGGGGTGTTTATGGATGAAACAGGTTTGGCCAAGAATTGCTCACAGAAGAAACACTGAAAGTACTTTCACATAGGAGAAAGCAGGCACTCCTTTTTTTTTTTTCCTTTATATTACCCTACCTGGATGACAGCATCCACCCCTCACAATCTCTTTGACCATCATATATTACTGATGGCAATGATCTACCCTCCACCCACACCAACCTCTCCTCTTCCTGAATTTTTTTAAAACTCCATTGACATCACCCAATATCTAAACAAGACATTTAAAAAGAACCTGCCTGATGCATTTTCTCTCTACAGAGCTTATCAATCAGCAGTATTTCCCACTGGACCCCCTAACCTAGTCCAATGTTTCCTCCTGTCTTTTAATAACCCTCTTCTAGTTCAGTCTTTCATCCTCTCCTGATGGAATCACTATCATAGTCTTCTTCCTAACCATTCTCCCTCCCTCTGCACAACCACCTCAATACTCTTTCTAAAAGCAGGTTATTTCAAGAACTGGGGAGAAGGCTCAGCAGTTAAGAGCACTTGCTGCTCTTGCAGAGAGGACTTGACTCAGTTCCCAGCACCTACATGGTGGTTCACAGCTCTCCACAACTACCCTATAATTAGGGTATCTGACACCTTCTTCAGAATTCTGCAGACTCTTGCATGCACATGGTGCATATACATACACTCAGGCACACGCACATACACACAAATGTAAAAAGTGTTTAAAAAGCAGGCACTGGCTCTTCAGCCTACAATTGTCATAAATTAACCTTAAACATGAACCCAGAGTCAACTAAGCTAACTATGATGCCATTATTTAAAATAAACTACAAAATCCTAGTACCTATCGACCTTCTTCACAACTATAGAAAGCAAATTCAGGCTGGGCATGGTAGCACACATTTGAAATCCCAGCGCGGGAGGCTCATTAATTCAAGGCAGCATGGGCAGGACTGTCTCAGCCTCTACCAAAGAGATCACAAATAGTTGCAGATTTGCAGATGTTACCTCTAACTTTATGCGCTGTGACTCCGATCCTTTTCTCTCCAAATCCTTGTACGGTGCTCCACATCTGCTCTTCTCTCAATTCTAATGAATCATGTATCACTCAAGACCACATTTATTCTTTTCTCACTAGCCTTTGACAAGCAACTAGGACTTCTTGGTTGCAACTTCTTGGGAGTAGAACTCAGTCGTCCACGCGAGGTGAATTCTGCTTATATTCATTTTCCTCTTGTCTTACCACGGGAAAAAGAAATGCAGTGCTTTAAAGTTGTCCCGGAGTCAAGTCTTGCACCCAAGCTGTCTCAGACAGCCTTCTCGCCTACCTCCCTCCATCCCACCACTAGGTGGCAGGAGGGTCAAGGATGCCGGAAACCCTCCGCGGGGATCCAGGGACGTCTCCCATCCCTGGCGATGATTGGCTCGTTCACGGATGACCTCGAGGGGAGGAGTCAGTAGCTGAGCCGGAAACGTCTGCAGCGAATGCAGCGTCCGGAGATCGGGCGTGCGCACTCGGAGGATCCCCCGCAACGGATCCAGAGGGCCGCTGCAGCTCCTCGGCTGGCCAGAAGGGGCCGAGCAGCTGTTCTCCTCTGGGGGGGCGGATCCTGCCGAAAGGGGTCACACCGAAGAGGGCTGGGCAACACCGAGGGGAGGAGTCACCTTCAGAGGAGGGGTCACAATGACCCGGGGAGTCACTCGGAGAGGTCTCACTGCGTGAGAGGAACACTAGGAGGACGACCGTGGGCTGTGGGTGCACACTGATGTGGCAGTCATTCTAGCGAAGGGTCCCCCAGGAGAGAGGTCTTAAAGCGGTCTTTGAGGGGGCGGGATCTTGCCGAGGGGTGGGCTCTGGCGGAAGGAGGGGCTTCCCTGCAGGTAGAGGCTTCTCTCTTAAGAGGGTCATTTGGACAAAGAAATAAGAAGGAGGTCCAGGCTGGGTGGACCCCAGATGGAGGCACTGGAATCTGAACTTTATTCCGGCGAATCGGGATGGAGCGAGGAGCCGGGGCCGAGACAGAGATGAGCTGGACCGAGGCTCCCTGCAGCCCCGGGGTAGCACAACCTCCCGAGCAGACAGGTGTTGGCGCGTCCCAAGATTTAGGGTGACGGGGTCGAGGAGAACCTGGAGATGGGCAGTCGGGCCCGGACGCAGGCCGGGAAGGAGGACGATTGCCGGGTTGCCTGCTAGCTGGGCCTCAGGGAGTTGCTTCTCTGCCCTGCTGTTCCAAGGAGCCCTGGATGCAGGCGGCTTCCTGAGCCCGGCCTTCCACACAGTGACCCGAGGACGGGAGGAAAGGACGCCCAGGCCAGCTACGGGTCCGCAGTCAGCCCCTGGCCCCCTTCGCGTCCGCAAGTCCAGGCACGAGCTCCCTTGACCGCTGCTCCCCCGGCCAGGTCTCCCCAGCCCCGGGTCCCCTGCGCCGGGGCGTACCTGAGGGGGCGTGGCCGCGGGCGCAGG